CGGGTATTCTTCGCTGACTTTAGCAAAGGATTTTCAAGACTTAGTCGACCACAATGTCCTAGTTGCTGAGTTAGAAAAACTGTATTTGCTGTTTTGAATTTAAGGCGAAGATAATGTATTGCGTTCAGTCGTTTTATCGACATCTCAATGGAATTGTTTTGAAATGCAACTTTTTCATTCAATACTCATTTTCTTTGCTTCTTGGAAACATCTAGGATTAAAAAATTGAGGGAGCATATTGATGCAAAAGGGACATAGACAAAAAACGCGTTAAGAAGCAACCTAATGCTGGCAGGTATGTCACAGAAACTCCTTAATCCAATTTTGACTTCTTAATTAAAGTAGACTAGAAATATTATGAAATTGCAACAGACAGTGAACCAAATCCCAGATATGACAAGAAACACTCGTTGACGTGTCACAATTAGGGGATATTTCAGAGGTTTTACGATGTATAAATAGCGATCAACTGTGATAGCAAGAAGTGTTGCAAGAAATGTTAGACACACGAGAAGGTCCGCCAATGCCAAGTTTCCAATTAAGTATGACGCGACTGTCTTTTCCCTTCTCGAAAAAATTGTAAATATTATAACTGTGCCATTACCTAATACCCCAACAATCATCGCAAAGAATTTGAAAACAACAGAAAATATGAGAACATCTCTTGGAACAGTTGTCATGTTGAAATTGCTGGTTGACATGTTTGTTTTTTCTGCCATTTTTCTGTTTACAGGAATAAGTCAAGGAATTGAAGTATTATTGTTAATTATCCCTATTTAGTTTCGCATTTGCATATAACGTGTTCTAAATGTTGGACCCGGAGAAGTGGGAGAATAAATTACTGCACTCATAATTTGCCATCGCATATTAATATATTTTCATTGAAATATATTATACTTTGAAAATCCACAACCATGCAATGGCGTTTGAAGTCCTGTAATTTAACCTGTCTTAGTATTTATCCTGTCATATACACTGGATCTGCATCGTACAAAAGAAGAAATTTAAAAGGAAACTCTGCGGAGGTGTTTTTATAAATAAATGGAAAGGCCGTTGCTATGGTTTCGAGGATGCAGTTTCTCTTTCTTGATCCACCAATCGGTCTTGGCCACTGGGCTATATTCCCGTGAAATCTTGTTTTTTTTTTTGAAATTATAAGCCATGATAATTGATAAATTGATTTGAATTTGATAAGGCAAGATAATATCAACTAGGTTTTAACAGCCACCATCATCAGAGGTTGAAATTTACACTGTTTGCAGCAAATATCTTATTACTTTACTTTGCATCAGCACCCACTCAGCACTTTTGTCAGTCAGATCATGTTAATTAATGCTTGAATCTAGTAGACTCACCGGGGGGAAGGTTTAATTATTTAAATTATTGTTTGCTATCATGAAAACAAAATAGACCAAACTTAAAGATTGACATGCATTGCCAGGAATTTAATTCCTTCCCCACACGAGAAATAGAAATTACAATTAGCATACAAACGTATTTGACACATATCTTTTAGTACCAAATTGCTGTTAATTCAAAGATTCAGAACGTCTTTGATCAGATTTTAAATTTTCCCAAATGATAATACGCAATAATAAACGTGTTGTTATTAGAAGACGGTCTAGATGGCATAGGCATATTATGGAGCAGAGAGTGCATGTGGGTTAAACCATTCGAACCTTGAAAACTGAGAAAGTTGACTCATGAATTTTTGAATTCCACCGAAATTGGTGCAATTATCGCGGAATTCAATGCATGCCAAACTCGAAAAACATCGCTAGAAATGTAGGGCAACATTGGGCTATGATTGGACAAAACATGCGCTATAATTTAGGGACCAATATTGCGTCGCCTCTACGAAAAGAGTCGGGAAAAATTCAAATTGCTTTCTATTTAAAACACACAATTGAAAAGACGTCTTTGTCCACGTCCAAGACGTTATTCATGTTGTCAACCTTTATCCACTGAAAACTTGAGGGAAACTCGAGATGTTTGTTCCAGAGAAAGAATATTTTTATGATGGTCTTCGTATGGAAAAGTGTTTATATTCCAAGCAAATTTCTGATATTTGCTTTCCAGTGCCATGGCCGCAAGAGTGGGGGGAGGGGGGCAATACTTTGTGATCGTTTAGGTGATGCAACATTGTGTAAATCTCACTCCGAATAAAATTGGATCTGTTGTACACTAAATTGAAAAGTTTTGCGCTGGTGTTTAGACCTTAACGCAAATTTGAATGTTATTGTGAATATGAATCCTTAACCAGATAAATGTCAAGAGCTTTCATTAGTCTGGTGAAAAAATATTTCGAATGTTCGGACACCGGTATTAAACTTCCCTAAGAATTAATTAGAAAGAAACAACTGGCGGCTTCCTTACCTAGACATCAAAGCTGAGTTATTAAAGCTTTCAGCTCAGCACTATTATCATCACTCATTCAATCAATATCGAACGAGCTCCAGCGTTAAGTATGATTATGATGATAAGTGTGAATTTTAAGACTAATCGTAAGGCCTGTTCTCCACTTCAACATTAACCGTATTGTATATATAAAAGATTCGAGAACGTAAAGCTACTCCATAGTAAGCTTACGCCTATTTAATCAGCACAACATTACTGACACAACTATCTTAGGCTTTCCTCTTTTTTAGTCTTTTTAAATCACAAAGCAAATTAAACAGTTACGATCATACAAATGCTCGGTTGAGCGTACCAAAATGATTAGTATTTAAAAGGATTAGCCTAAAAATGTGTTGGGACAGTTATAATAATATAGTTTCGTGCATGGAATCATTTAAGCATGTAGGAAGGCAACATGATGACGACGTGGTTGGAATACTCCTCTAGATTAAAGTTATGGGAAAGCGTTTTTCTATATCATATCATCAACTGTACCAATTTAATGAGATATAAGACGTTGAAAATTATGGAGGGGCATTTCGGACAAAAATGACATTCGCTTGTACAATGCATGCCGTTCGTTCATGCCACATGCTATTCGTTCGTATCATCTATCATTCTCGACGTTGTTCGCGTGCATGTTACACGCCATTTGTTTGTACACTTTCTGTCTTCGGTTTCAGCCGGTGGATTCATGTCATCGGGTCAGCGGCCGTTACTTCTACTATAGCTCGAGCCGGCGGACGTAGTTTCATCGGGACAGCGATTGCTATGAAAGATTTCGTGTAAAGACCGCTGTCACATTGCTGTTTTGCATTAGAGTCTACAGAGCAAAAGGTTGAACAAAAACGAAAGTACAGAAAAAATGAATAATTCATCTTCGAATAATCGTGATCTATTAATTAACAAGAACCAGCAATTTATTAAGAACTGCATTGTGCCAATTGGAAACTGAAATGTCTCAGAAACGAGTGCCTCGTTCTCGGAACAAGGACCAAGCGCGTCTACTTTTTCGGCATCGGGCAATCTTTTCACCAAGGAGTCCAAAGACGAAGTGCCTCAGACGATTTCAGGTATGAAAAAGAGTACGAATGTGCATACGATCTTGAATGCTACACTACCATAGAACATAGTATATAGAAGGTTGACGACTTGGTGTTCTCAATTAATTTTGTCATAATGGTTTATACTTTATATTGTCATAGCAACAGATTCGTGTGAAATTTTGAATTTTAATTAAAAGAATTCTTTCACCCAAAAATAGTGATTGGAGTCTTGTAGTGATTATATATATTCAAATCAATTTTAGAAGGGCATTACCTTCTGTCAACTTACAGCCACCAGTGAAAAAAAAACAAAAGGATCAATAAAAGGGTATGTTCCACTTCGATCCCAGCCAGCAGAGACTTGGACCCATGACATATGTATTGTAGGCAGGTGTAATGATATGTTAACACCAGACAGACACCGACCTGACTCCCTAATAGCAAAATAAAAGTCATTTTTCCTAACAAGAATGCATCTCATGGAGAACTACGAAAAATCATGGAAGAAAAGTTTCCATAGATGAAAGGATCAGGAGGGTTTGAAGTTTTTAGAGCCGTTGAAGGTGGTGGAGGACAAAGGGTACTCAGTCTTATCCCACCAAGCAGAGAAGGATGTTCTGTATCATATCTCAAAGAGAGGTTGGGCCAGGCTGTAGCCTATTTCCGTCCACTACAAATTGATTTGGATGAAACTGAAGCGAGATATGACGTGAGTTCAGATTTTAGTTTTATTGGGGCTTTTGACATCTTAGTTTTACAAATTATTTTCAACTTACACGATTTTATTATTGCATACTAAGAAAATTAATTTCTATTTATTAAAGTTATTCTGGATTTAATTACTCAACATGCTTAATTGTGACAAGCACAGCATTTTCACATATAGACTTCCCAACCCTTATTCAGTGGCGTAGCCAGCATCGATAATTGGGGGGGCCCATATTCATATATTCATGTAAACAGACTGTAAAGACAATTGATTTGAAAAGAAATTAATCCTGCGTATCACGAATATATGAATATGGGCCCCCCCAATTATCGTTCTGGCTACGCCACTGCCCTTATTGACTCTTGCGTTTCTCACACACCACAAAATTTGACAATTAATATGCACTTCTGACCTACTGTGAGCATAATCATTGTATGGAAACTGTGATTGAGATTGTCAAGCTTTTATATTCACTGATATAACATTTGCCTCTTGCATGTAATTGGTAAAATAATTGGTAATATTTAAATATTTTTTTAGGATATTGGTCCAGTTATCAATTGTATCAAATGCAGCAATAGCTTCACATATGGTGAATTTAAAAATCACCAGCTTGTCTGCAACCCTGATGCATGGGCATAAATATATGGATTCGTAAGTATACGCATGTATATATTATACAACATAATTTATATAATATATAAAATATATGTTGATTGAAATATAAAATATAAGATATTACTGAAAAAGCTTATTATTCTTATTACAACCTCGTTCCCAGGGCCTTTTGGGACTTTATAGGGAGGGTTGAGGCTGCGGGGGGGGGGGGTAGAGGAAAGGCCCTGGGATCGGCCGTTCAAAATACCCACATTTCGTGGGTATTTTGAATAAGCATAATTTATGCCTAAATATTTTCAAAATGGCGGCGTCTAATATTGTCAAGTATATTGGAATTGCACTTAATTCCGCAAACTTTCCGCCATTAAATCTCAAGCCACTTCAAGTAAAGTGTCTGGAGTATATTTTGAATGGCAAAGACGTAATCGGGGTCTTACCTACAGGGTTTGGCAAGTCATTAATTTTTCATATTCTACCGTATTTCATGCCAACTAAGAAGCGCAGCAATATTGTTCTAGTTATTTGTCCTCTAAATTCAATAATTGAAGACCAACTGAAAATCTTGAAGGATAGAGGTATCTCGGCTAATGTACTTGTTGGAAGAAGCAAAGATCGTAGCGAGATTGAAAAGTTGTTCTCATCGTCACCAGCTACTGAAGACAAATCGTCCAACGAAAACCTTAGTCACCTTACTGAGGAAGACTATCAAATCCCGAACGACATACTAAATGGAGAATGTTCGATTGTATTTGCCCACCCAGAAGCTCTATTAAGCAAAGAAGGACGAAAATTAATGACAAGTCAAATTTACCAAGACAATGTTGTAGCTTGTGTAATTGATGAGGCACATTGTGTTGAGCTATGGTAAGAAATTATTAAACGTCAATGATAGCAGCCTTGCTTGCAAAATAATATGTTCATGCAATGCCAATAGATTTCCTTATACCAGATGACCACCTTTTCAAATCTCATCAAATGGGTTATAACTGAAACGCCATGCTTGATGATTGCAAATTAAAATGGCAGTTTCAGTTTATTATACTGTATAAAACTGTGAAGAATTGATCACACTTGTAACCACTCATCAGTATTTGAATAGTATACATTTTGTCAAAATTGTAGTCATCATATCAAAATGTTATATGAAAATATGCAATGCTTGCTATGTACTTATCTGAATATATATTGTATAATGTCACATCCTTTTTCTTGTCAGTGAGGTACTGCATTAATGAATAATTGATTTATTAAATAATCATAATTATTTGGTAGGGGCGAGGAGTTTCGAACAGACTTTAAAGACCTATCCTCACTAAAAGCATTCTTTCCATTGGTTCCAACTATTGCGCTGACAGCAACAGCTTCACCAGTAATGTTGGAAAAGTTGAAAAAAAGTCTTCTGCTTGCCAGCTGCAAAATTGTGTCTGTCAACCCAAACAGAATGAATATATACCTGGAAAAAAAGATTCGACTTAGCAACAACGTGGGTAATGAGAGTTATAGAGCCATTATTGAACCAATTGCTCAGGAGCTAGCAATTAGAAGAGAGAAATACCCAATGACAATTATATATTTAAAGTTGAAATATTGTGGATATGCTTACTCTCTATTTGAGAGAATTCTGAAGGATGACCAATATGTGGGGAACTCAAAAGAGCCAGCTGGGAGACTTTTTGCACAATTCCACTCCCCACAAACTGACCGTATGAAAAAGGAAATCATAAGAGAGATAAAGAAAGAAGACTCAAGGGTAAGAATAATATTTGCAACTTCTGCTATTGGAATGGGAGTGGATTCACCATATGTCACAAGTGTCATTCATATCTCACCACCAAGCACACTTGAGGCCTACATGCAAGAGATAGGACGTGCTGGTCGAACTGTAGGCTTACAGGCTAAAGCAACCCTTTATTACAACAATTCTGACATTAGCAAAAACATATTACACGTACAACAGTGTATGAAAGATTACTGCCAAGCTTGCGACACATGTTTGAGAAAGGTCATTGTAGAGTATTTTGGATTTAATTTAGTGAAACAGAGCAATTGCTGCAGTATTTGTGATGAAGGCAGTAAGACCACAGAAGACACATTCTCTCCAAATATAAAAAAGCCCGGGAACTACCCATGGAAAACAGGATTCCTCTAAAAGAATCAATAAAAGCAATTTTGCACAGCTCTTCAAAAACATTGCAGTCTATACCCATGCTTGATGTCCCATTGTTAAACATAAACACCATGACTGAAAACATAATAGATGGTATTGAATATATCGCAAGAGAGTGCGATCTGTTATGCACATTTGGGATATGGGATGAAACTTGCTCATCCCAGATATTTTCTGTTATATGTGACCTCACAGTTTTGACATGATGTTTGTAATGCAAATAGCAACTTTCAAACTGGAGGAACAATGACAATGATCAAAGTATGTATTGGTAATAGTTTTGTTAACAGATTAACAGAAAAAAAATTTGTTAACAAATTAACAGACAGCTTTGGGAAAACTATGTAAATTTTATTACAGTATATAAACACAAACCACAGAGTGCTGTCTGTGTAAATCATAGAGATCATAAATAACACTAAAGTGGGAAATTTACATTGTCAGTCAAACAAAGGGAACACAATAATATGTGGCAAAAAAATGGAAGTGTTAAAAAAAAGCCAAGTTTGATTCAAAATTTCTATTTAGTTCATATCCATATTTTGTTTGAGTGTTTGACCTTATATGTTATGGTGGAATTGATTCCAACATACAATCAAATAAAAATATATAGGTTAACTTGAGAGTTCTTTCATGTGTTTTGCTAGCCACTGATGGAATTCGACAATGTTCAGATATTTCAGAGGACATTGTTTAATTTCAGGAAAACTCTCATGACATCTCAAGGGTACATGAGTGAAAGGATTGAGGTTTAAAAGATCTGCAATCATTTCTTTTTCATCTTCTAGGGAATCCCGAGATGTATGCTGGACAGATTTTTTGTGAATTCCAATAGAACAATCAACTGCTTCTGTAACTTGACTTATCCCTGTTGTTGCTCTGCAGATTTTACTAATGGAGTTCAAAGTTTTGTTTGCACCCATGCGTTGGACAATACTCTTTGACACTTTGTTGTATATTTCCTGTGCCAAGTCGTCCTCAATATTCTTCCCTGCACCTCCTCGATAGTTCACAAAGAATCCCCATTTGAATTCTTCTGACAATCTAGGGGTCAAGAGGCATTCAATCTGTGCTATGCTAACAAACATCTCGATAGCATATTTGCTGTAACTTCCCATTGATTTGAATACAGCCAGTAACAGTTTTTGATTGATCAGATTTCTGTTGCCATCAGCTTCTTTAGCAGTATCTTTCATTTGTAATAGCAGAATAGACAAGAAGATGAAACACAACCCATAGTTCATGACATAGTCTTCATCATCATACGACTCGTTGGTACCTTTCTGCAGGACCATTCTGTCAACGAATTGCCCAAAAACATTGTCATAGTATCTTGTCTTGCTTTCTTTGTTTGCCCTCCTGATGTTGTCGGGGAAAACATGGTCAGTAGGTTTGTCGTCAAGCTTTTTCATACCAAAAAACTTAAGAACAGCAGCAACAATGTAAGCTTTTCCCACGCTTATAAACAAGTCCTCGCTTCCTTCGTAAGAGTCAAGAACTTTGGATGGTGTAGCATTCTTACGGTGATACTTCTCTCTAAAATACTTTAATGTCCCAACCTGGTTTACGGACTCTGATTTGTGAAGAAATGAATACGAATATTGGAGAAGTGAAGCTTTGGTATGCCACATCACAGGTTTGAAAGGCGAGCAATGCTCAAACCTATCTGAAGGCGTATGAGACCCTGACAAAAGATCCTTCGCACCAGCAAAACGCACTCTCGTTAACTGATCCCCGGCAAATGCAATCTTCATATCTCTCATTTGATCATTCGGAGTTGCTGCTTGATGGGCATGCGTCTGACCAGGGGCCGCAGGTCCAGCAGGCACTGGTGGATTCTCTATGGGGGGCATTTCTTTGAGAAAACCAGCTTGAACATATATTTCAGAAATCCACTTTTCGTAAGTACGAAGGATGGAAACACAATCTTCATATTTTGCCTCATTGGCATTTATTATAGGCATGCTAACAATGGTTGACTGCTGTTCCATTTCTTTACTGTAAACATGTGAGATATGTTCCGGAACAACACCATTTAGAAACTTGAAATGGGGAAGATATTGAAGAACAATCCGACCTACAATAACCTTGGCATTGTTTGCATACTGTTTCCACTCATTTACATTTAAAGAAAATGTGGAACGTGGAAGGTCGTCAATGTTCCTCTTTGGCATATCATTTGGTAAGTGATTGAATGTCAATCTGTTTTCAATGAGATTGGTGGCAAACAAGTGAAGATCTTCATTATGAATGTTCTTTTCGCCATACTACCTTTCAGAATCCTTAGATCCCAATTATCTCCTGTACCACGGAATACCTTTCCTTTCCTGATCTTATTGACAACTTGATCAGAAAAATGGCCTCCAAGCATCCTGATGAGTGCATCCCTTCTTGATGTGGACAGACACACCCCAAGCTTGTTCAATCTTTCTTGTAACTACCAGAAAAAATACACCTTTGCCTTTCTTTAAGCAGAGATAGAAATTCATTAAAGATAATCTTGCACTTTCACAATTTCACAAAAAAGTACAAATTATCTTAAGTGAATTTTTATTTTTGCTTAATGAAGGGCAAATGGAAGGGACATTTCTGTGCAATATTAGCAAGGTTATCTGCGTGTAAAGCCCGGATCAAACGAGGACGAAAGTCCATCGCAAATTCAACTTGCGAAGTACTTGAACTTCCTGTTCAAACGTTTTAAAAAATTGCGATGAAAATTTTAAATTATTCAATGTTGTCGGAAGTCAACTCAAGTCATCGCAAGTGGACAGTCACACGAGGTACAAGCATGCACGCGCAAAACCTGAAGCAAAAACTTGCGATGGACTTGCGTTCTAGTTTGATCCGGGCTTAGCCCCGAGACTGGTTGACATTTACAGTCCATTAAACATTTTTACAGACAGTAATAATATGCACGTGCCTATACTCAACAATCAGAAAATACATGTTTGATTGATTCGTTAGGCAAATTTTAATTTGCGGCGATTCGAATGTATTTTGCATTTCTGTGCGAGCATGTTGATAAACAAGATGCGAGTCATGCGACCCTTCATGTAGCATTATAAACAGGGAATGAAACTTTATTTGCCCTACATTCTAGACAGAAATCTCCTAAAGAAAGTAAGTTATAAAAGCTGATTTTCCTCAGTATCGGATCGAAACAGAAAGGAAAGTTTCTTTTAATATCACAATACAGTGTTTGTTAATCTGGGCATACATAACTTTCTGAATAAAAAAAATTCTGAATAAAAAAAAACTGAAGAAAAATTTTTATGTGAAAGAACATTACTATTTCCAATTATCTCCAAACATTTTAGAACTCCTATCGTGAACGCGTTGACTCGTATTGACTACGTAACTATATTGACTCGTATATTTTAGCCATCAAGTTAAAAATCAGATACATTTCTTAATAACTTAATTATCAATTTTGAATTATTCGCAAAAGATGAAATATGACAAGTTTTCAATAACAGCATATTTTACGAAATTGACAGGCTTTTCAAAACTTGTCAATTTCATAATATCATTAGTAACAAGGTCACGAACAGTTAAAAATCAACATAAAATTGACGGGAAAATCGCTCGTGCATTTGTAAAAATTATAATTTATTGAAGTAAAATGAAATAAAATAATCATGATTAAATATAATTTAATAATATTATTATATGTATACTACTTGTCAGTCTTATGGTAATATATATACGCCAATCCGATTGAAAAATATACGCACAATTTTAGTACAATGTCAAAGCTATTTTTAAACAGTCACGATAACATGCCTAATGAATGAAAACCCGCAAGTATAGCAATACAAAACGCAATTTAGTGAAAACGTTCTATTAGCTGAGGCTAGAATCAGGAATAGCTTAATTAAGAAATAAATATTTAAAGTAGGGATTCCGAGGGGAGTTCACTTCAAACATTTTTCTATATTGTTATTACTGTACCTGTTTAGTACATCCACCCTCGATAACAAGGACTGTGTTCACACGCTTGACGAGATTCAATTCATGCCATCTTTCACTCATCAGAATGGAGTAGATAAAACTATACTTGATGCGTAAACTTTCGCCAATGTCATCAATACTTTTTCCATCTCGATCAGCTACCGCATTCAAAAGCTCTATTAGCACGGGAAAATTATTTTTAAGTTCAATCCAAATCTTGTCATAGTTAAAATCTGTCAAACTTTCATAGCCATTGCCATATAAGATAGAACCTTCTGAGCGCTTGCAAAGTTTGGAGCTTGAGAAGCTAATATATTTAACTTGTAACTTTCGCAAAGCATTGATAACATTGTCACAGTGTGCTTTCAGAATAAATGCTAGAACATTTGCATCCTTCGAGTTGATAGCTCGGGTTAACATCTGCCGCTGCTTCTCACTCAAAAAATGCTCGGTGTCTACTGGTCCTTGATCGTACTGAATTGGAATGGGTAAGTTGCTTGTTGGACATTGTTGTTGGGCCGGTTTTTCGAATAATAATTGCCTGGATGAACTATTTGGAGTTAGACGCTTTAATTGTGGTTGTCGAGTAGAAGGTGACACCTCAACACAACGCTTTACAGAAACAACATCGTCAACGAATTCGTCGTTTTGTAACATTCGCACTTTAGTTATAAACTCGCATATCTTGTTCACGAACGACACACAAGATCTACACAATACCTTTGAATTCCTATCGTTTTCGTTAATGCGTATTCCACACGAAAACTCGACTTTCTGGCAGAGCTCTTGTTCTAAACCAGCTTTAGTGAATATTCTGATCACATGTCGTCTCTCTTTTGCCTCATGACAAAGTCTACAAACGGGATTCCTTGCCGAAATTTTATTTGGAGTCTTGTTCAGTTCTGCCATTTTATACCGCCCTTTGATCGCACCCCAACTTATTTATTAGCTCGGTTCGGAATAATTACAAAATATTCCGCTAATTACACATAAATTAGGAAAATCATTTAACCAATCAGAAGTCAGAAGCGGCTGGCCGATCCCAGGGCCTTTCCTCTACTCCCCCCCCCCGCAGCCTCAACCCTCCCTATAAAGTCCCAAAAGGCCCTGGGAACGAGGTTGTTCTTATTATTATTAACTACAGATCATTTCAAGTATCGGATGACGAGGTTAGGGTTCCACATGAAGTGGAAACTATCAATGCAGACAAGGTTCAGTTGCTTACACATTCTATATTCATGATACAATACAGAATATTCATTTATAGTTTTTCCAACAGAAAATGTGTATGTACAGTAATAGGCTAATTTAGCTAATAATCTTCTCGGGATGTTTACTTTCGCATAATTTATTACGCATGCACTGCTAAGACAATCCATAAGCAGATAGCTTTCATTTGGCCGCACACGGAAAGATTTAGGCACGCGAGGCAGAAATTATCAAACATGCCAGATATTTGCCGTAAGTGGCACGAATGACCAAAGTCGCCGGAAAAGTTGCCCGCACACGAGAGCAACTGGCTTACGCTAATAGCCACGAATGACTTTTTGCTATAGAAGAAAAATACAAGATGCCTATGAGAGCCTAATATTTACTAGTGTCTCAGACAAAAAAGAAGTTAAGGATAACAGTGGTTGGTATTGTTATAGCTGAAGTGCTTAAATATTTTATTATATTAATGGTACAAATCTAGACAAATATTTATATATGAATAAAGTGAATGCAATAAATTGAATTTTAAACTGCATAAATGTTTTCTATTTGTATTTCCCACCTGAAAGACATGTTTCCGAATACAAGTATTGCAACATTGCAAAATTCATATGAAAATAAACAAGGAGATGTGTCTGAAGTGGTTGATGAGCTGATTGGAGGGTAGGATGAGCAATTGGAAGGTTTGTACAAGTGGTGTTTAAAATTCTTTGAAACAAAATTGTCAAATGGGTCTATTAAAATTTATTTAAATAATTTCAAAATATTTGCTAGATTATTTTTCTGATTTTGAAACAATGATGGAGAATATTGATGCAGATGAACCACTAAATCTTCCTGAACATCTTCAAAAACTAGCACCCACAAAAATAACTCCTCAAAGATTATCTGTTGATCGTGGTAGCCTGTTTAAAGACATTGTGTTATTTTTCAAAAAAAAGTTTCGAATTTGATTCCCTAGTGAAAATAGTATTTGAAAACGAGCCAGGAATCGATGGAGGGGGTCCTAGAAGAGAATATTTTTACTCTCTTATTGAATTGCTTGGCTTCTTCTAGCAATTTTGTACGACTGTTTGAAGTAAGTGAAGCGATTACTACCAATGCATAATGCAGATGCATTAAGGGCCAGTCTTTATAAAGTAGCTGGAAGAATTATTAAAACATCCATTTTGAATAGAGGTCCAGGTTCTCCATTTTTAAAAACATTGTCTTTACGTTAAGGGACAATTCTGTAGAGCCTAATTCGAGGTAGCGCTAATGGTCCTAAAATACAGACGTTCTACATACGACGTAATAAACGACATTTTGCCGTTGTAAATAAAACATAGATCACGTCTAAACGTCCCATATGTGTTTAATAATTCTTTTCTCTTTAATGAACCTGATTGTATTGATATTGTCGCGGTCACGTCCTGCATGCTTAAAGTCCCTATATTGACCTACAGTACAGCTGCGAGTAAAGCGGCTCATATAATAATTATATCCATACACGACTCTAAAATGAAATAATAGACAACTAATCACTAATATACAGTTTAAAAGTAGAGCTTCATAATCCTTGCAGTGAGCAGTCCCGTGGACTAAAAATAGTTATAAGACTTTGATCTGGCGCCATATATGCCGATATGTGCAAGAGACTCATTCTGCGCAGATGTTTCATTTCTCACAGGTGTACTGCATGTGAATGCGAAATTGCGCGTCATTTTGTTAATATGAGTGTAACGAAACAAAAATACAGCGATAAACGTTTAGCACTACAGAACTCTACGAAACCTGAAAACAATTGAGTTGATCCACAGATTATTGCTTTGCATGCAGTGGAGTACACTATACATGCATATTTATAAAAATTCAATTCGATCAAGTTCTACAAAATAAGACAAATAGGTAAAAATTAGCGTTGCATGCTCTTTCATGATTCCATCTGCCACGGGCTTCCGTCAAATTTTGTGTAAAATTAGTGTATCATAATTATTCTCTACTTCGAAATCCTCGCCGAGAATAATACTCGAGAATTGCACTCATTTTTATCAAAATGAGAGTAGATAATTGCACTCATTTTCATGGTTTGTTACAAACCCAATAGACGTAAAATGTAGTTCCTAGCGGCTTTCCTGAACTTTATATGTCTCATTCCGTAGATGAACGCATTCGTGATTGAATTAATCCCAAGCAACTCGTAGTGAAAAACAACAAACCAAAGTTGGCAACACAATTTGCTGCAAGACAACTTAACTGGCGGCCCAATCAAGGAAGGTATAAAGACAAAGAAAGCAAAAACTGCCGTCACAATGGAGAATGTATTTGCTGTTTTGAATTTAAGGCGAAGATAATTTATTGCGTTGCGTCGTTTTATCGATATTTCAATAGTATTGTTTTGAAATGCAACTTTTTCATTCAATACTCGTTTTCTTTGCTTCTTGGAAACATGTAGGATTAGAAAATTGAGGACGCATATTGATGCAAAAGGGACATAGACAAACGCGACAAGAACCCACACAATGGTGTCAGGTATGTCGCAGAAACTCCTTAATCTTGTGTTTGACCCCTTAAAAAAGACCAGCAATGCTATGAGACTGCAACAGACGGTAAACCAAATCCCAGATATGACAAGAAACACTCGTTGACGTGTCACAATTAGGGGATATTTCAGAGGTTTCACGATGTATAAATAACGATCAACTGTGATAGCAAGAAGTGTTGCCACTGAAGCAAACAGAAATGAACAGCTGGTAGAACGACTTAACGTGCAAAACAAGTCTTGATCGCTGTCGATGTTCAATATTGTCTTAATAAATTTGATGATCCATATCGGATAAAATGTTAGGCACACGAGAAGGTCCGCCAATGCCAAGTTTCCAATTAAGTACGACGCAACTGTCTTTTCCCATGTCGAAAAAATTGTAAACATTATAACTGTGCCATTACCTAATACCCCAACAATCATCGCAAAGAATTTGAAA